GTTCCCGTCACGTTAGGGAGGTTGCAGCAGTTATGGTTCGCGACCCAAATAAAGGATACCGCCCTAGGTGCTATGGCTGTGGGGAAAGGGGCCATCTTCGATCCAGCTGCCCTAAGCGAACCCTAGAAAGGGAAGGTGAACGATCTCAGAAGGGAAGTGCGGCTAGCATCACCACCCAGCAGCAGCCGGGATACGACTTTACTATCGAACATCGCAGCGGGAAATCTCATGGCAACGCAGATGCATTGTCAAGAAGACCTTGTCCTGAAGATTGCAAACATTGTTCTAGGCAAGAGAGTAAGGAAGCGGTATCCGTGAGGATGCTCAGGGCAGACCACCTAAGCAACGAGTGGAAGGACAGCTTACAACGTGCACAGCAGGAAGATCCGAACATCAAGCCGATTCTGGAATGATGAAGGCCAGTGCTCCCAAGCCCAGTGGAGCGACGTCTCAGCGATGAGTTCGACCACTAAAAGCTATTGGGCCCAGTGGGACAGCTTGCTGCTTCAGGATGGAGTTCTGTGCCGTAAATGGGAAAATGTTCGGGGAGACAGCTGTCATTTGCAAATGGTTGTCCCTAAAGCTAAAGTACTTGATGTTCTACAGCTGTACTATAATGATTATTCAGAATCTGGGAGTTAAACGAACTCTACTGAAGATCCGAGAACGGTTTTACTGGGTCCACTGTCGAAACGATGTCGAGGACTGGTGCAGCAAATGTACAGGCTGTGAGGCTGTAAAGGGATCTCATACTCGTAGTAGGGGTGCATTGAATTTGTACAATCTTGGTGCACCCTGGGAGAGAATAGCCATTGACGTGGCGGGGCCGTTTCCGGAGAGTGAAAGCGGTAACAAGTATTTCATGGTTGTGATGGATTACTTCACTAAGTGGCCAGAAGTCTTCGCCATTCCAAATCAAGAAGCTTCATCAGTTGCGGATAAGCTAGTTCATGAAGTGTTCTGTCGTTTTGGAGTACCTTTATATGTAGATTCACAGCGATCAAGGAAGGAATTTTGAGTCTCAAATATTCCAGGAAACTTGCCGAGTTATGGGTAATCATAAAACAAGAACGACTTCTTATCAACCGCAATTTGATGGAATAGTGGAACGATTTAATCAGACATTGGAGAGGTACCTAGCAAAAGTTGTTGACAATCGGCAACGAGATTGGGACAAGCACATACAACCGTTTTTGTTGTCATATCGAAGCGCTGTTTACGAAAGTACATCAGTGACACCAGCTTTCGCAAACTTTGGAAGAGAATTACGGCTGCCTGCAGACCTGATCACCGGGATACCACCTGATGCCCCACGCAGTATAACCGATTATGCAAATGACTTGCGGAACAAAATGAATGAAATTTATGAACAAGTCAGACAATCGGGCCAGCAAATGTCTGAAAAGATGAAAACCCGGTATGACCGCAAAATGAACAACAAAGGGTTCGACCAAGGTTCACTAGTGTGGTTGCACAATCCGGTCCGCAGCAAAGGGAAATCTCCTAAGGTTCAAGCTAAATGGGACGGCCCGTACCGGATTGTGACCAGGATCAACGATGTAACCTATCGGATACAGAAGGGCGCAAGAGGGACTCCTAAGATCGTCCATGTGGATCGCCTGACGCGTTATTATGGGGCCGATAATGCTCGGGACGAGCATGTCTTATGAGTGAGAAGTGTTGCGCGGCTAAGTTGACATCTGGCACTAGCGCCATCTAGTGTCGGGTAACGGAGCGAAAGAAGACGCTTTCCAGATAATGACATCACTAATCTTTCAACCGACAGCGACATCTGTTGTCGAAATAAAGAACTAAACTTTCTAGAAGCTCTACACTCGATCTTTCTGCGCTTGGTCGATTGGCGCGCGTATTTACTCGAATATTCTGGAATATTCTGGATGTTTTCGTGGAAGAGCTCTATATAAAGGCGCTGCAATACGCGATCGGGGAAGTATTGAATTTGGCAAGACAAGTGAAGCTTCGGAGCGGAATAAATTGAATCAGTGTGATTAATTATTAGTGTTTTAACTTTAATTAGTGTAAAGTGAATTAAAGTGTTAATTTTGGTAATTCAATCGGCAGTTTTTAATCGTCACGAACCTCAAGCTCGTAACAGTATTAAGATTTGCAATTTTTTTACCGGGCATAAAAAACAACGTTCTTTGACATCAGCACAAGATTTCCTGGGCCTGATGGTTCCCCGAGATGAGTACCGATTCTTTTGCGAATGTTCATTAGAAGGCACAAATTAGTTTTTTTAAATATATCTCATGCGTAAAGGTTTTTAGGAATTCTCTTCTGGTTGGTAGTTTATTATTTGTGTTAAAAATTTGAGCAATTTTTGTTTTTATTGAGAAAGAACGAACACAGATGTGATTAGACCTGTCCCTACTTTCCTCAAAGATCATGTCATCATCCACATCTTCCTCTTCAAAACTTATCTTATGTCAGCATTTCTTAATTGTTTGGATATTTTACTGCAACAATAAATTTTTAATAATATTTAATTATGAATTAAAACTATGAAAATCCAAAAATTATAAATCATTCACTTACCAAAAAGTCACACCGTATGGCCGGTAAGGTCTCTCAGATCTACGCGCTTTTTACCCGCGTGTTATTCGGACGCGAAAAACCGGAGAACAGTGGGAGGGGTAGTAAGCTGATGTCCAGACTTTAGCGGGAAGTTATAAAGACGCGCGATGCACTATGTAATGATAAAGCTAAAAGCTATAAAAATTTTCGACTTTTTCTGAAGTAGTGGGTCTGTTTTATCCACTAGGCATGCGAAGGGTGAAACAGGTTCTGAAGGACTTCAAGTACTGGATTTCCATCCGCTTTCAGAATTCCACCCTTGCCGGGCCTTGAAGTTTTTAAAGTGCTGGAGAGCCACTCTAATCTCACTCGGACTGACGTCCGGGATATCGTCGAAATAGTATCGGATAAGAATCGCTCTTGGATGTTACACACACTTGGGTGTGTCTCCAACAATGACGTGTACAATTCCCGATAGAATCTCTCAATCTTACTCAAAACTTCAGGTTTCTTGAAAACGATACTGACAAATTTGGTATTCTTTGTTCAGTTATCTGTATGCTATCAAATCTGCTGAAGACTGCCGCTTTGTTTCCCCTCCAACAGCCATGAGCGTGATCGGAGAGTTTTTATGTTCTTCTGTGATGGGTCTAATAAAACTTAGCTTTGACCTCATGGACAGTTACCACAAAATTGTCATTTATATCATCAGTTGCGTTGCAGTCTTCTAGGTTTTAGGATTAACAGCACGAGAGGAACGAATCTTTGATTTTATTAGACGTGACCTCTGCAAATCCACGTTTAGGTTTAGTGCGCCTCTCAAAATTCAGTGACTGCTGCTGGTTAACCAAAGCAACTTATAGTAGTATTAAGCGCCACTAATAAAACTGTAAGCCTACAATAACTACTAACTAAAAATAAGCGAAAGTGGTATGTAAGGATCGGTCTCTTGACGATTGGTTCTCTCCGTCTACCCCGCAAAGGAAAACGTAAAGCTATAGTAGTGATTTATACTAATACGTAAGTCTCTTTCTTCAGAAACAATATGTTTTTTAAATTTTCAATAATAATACAATGTCTACAATCTACAATCTACAATGTATGATGCAGTTAGTTTAAGGTCGTATTTGAAAGGCTAGTAACGCTTTACTAATCTGTGATATATATATATATATATATATATATATATATATATATATATATATATATGTATATATATAACAGCCGTATAATATAAAAAAGAGCCGTGGTAACTCAGTGGTTCACGCTCGCTGTAAATATAACAGAACGCGAGTAACCCGGGTTCGATCCCCGCCGGCACCAATGAAATTGTTAATTGCAATTTTAAGTGCTAATTTACCACGTGCTCGGCGGTGAAGGAAAACAGGAAACCTGCATGTCTGAATAATAAGAAAAAAAATATTTCGAAGACATGCGAAGTTCGTCAACACGCATTTGGGCAGCGCGGCGGACACTTCCTTGGCCTAAACCCTCTCAGAAATGAGGGGAGGCCTGAGCCCAGCAGTGGGACGTATAAAGGCTGTAACTTTACTTTACTTTTATATATATATTTTTCTAACGAGGTAGGGCCTTGTTGCAGCTATCTTATTGTTGTAGCACAAATGGCTCTCACAGAATATCAGCTCAATTCATCTGTTTCGTATTGTGAGTATAGAGAACCGGAGACCGTTTTTACTGAATACTAGGCATTCCAACTTAGTCTTTCAAGTTGAGAACGCTACAGCATTTCGAGTTGTAATGGAGGAAAAATGTAGATGTCTATGGGCCTCAGTATCCACTACCATCTGGTGGACTGTGGGTTCGTTTGTCACTGTAATACTTTAAAAAATACATTAGACTTACTAAGTCGTCAGGCCATTGCAATGGATTATATTAGGCCTGTAACCACATAGGAAATTAGAAGAGGCTTGTGCTCAGCAATAGGACCTACGTACGCTGCTGTTTTAGGTTTATTTTTTGTGTAATTTTTATATATCCTCATATTTTTACTTAATATTCAGTTAGTTCTTCTGTATGAATTATGTTGATTACCGTTGAATATCTACTAGGAAGTATGTTGTTAGACATTGTAATTGTTAATCCGTAAACGTGTCGATTATGATAATTGTTCAAAACTGGACAGTTACAGGTAAATGATAAAGACTATTTACGAACCTCGTATCAATCATTTGATAAGTTTAAAGCGTAATTACGAGTAAAACTTATTCACAAAAAATTACGAAATTCTCTATTCAATCGAAAAATATTGTATATGCGTATTCATAGGAATCATAAGAACCACAACCAAGAATGTCTAAGCAATGATAATCATTAAATTTCGAAATGTTAACAATTTTGGAATGGTAATATGTAATTATCGTTGTGGTGAAATACAACTCAAGAGATTCAAACAAAAAGTGATCGTTAAATTTAAAGTTTTAACTATAGTATTAAAAAAATCTCACCTGTAATTTATTTCCTCAGCAACGAAAATGTAATTTGAACAATAAATAGAATTAGACGCGAACACTAAAATTGCCAAAGCTGCTATTTGTAAGTGGTATCTACCAGATATACTGAACTTTGATAATATATCTTCCAAATCGACTGTTTTCTCCTCTGGTGGATTGCTAGCGGTCATGTTTTTATATCTAAGTCGCTATATCTCACTACAAGCACATTAGCTTTTTTCTTTGTTTTATCTCGTTCACTTTGTTCAGTTTTTAAATTTGCAATGTATAACTACAATGAATACGTGTAAAGTCCAGTACAGACAAACATGAATGAATACGCGCAAACTGTAGTAACAGTTAAGGTGACCACAGGTTTTATTCAAACTTCAATCTTATTTGCAAAGGGATTGGGTGTACATTATATCAGCGTGATGTTTAATCGCAATTTAAGCGGTGTCTATTGTACTGCATGAGTCGAATTGAATAATTCGACAGTGGCTTGTTGTAGTTGTAAACCACAATAAGAAATTTTGATTATGATAAGATGGTGAATTAGAAGTTGCGATATAGTAATAAACGGGACGATTTGGCGTAACAGCTATTAACCCGTTATCCCGAATCGTCCCGTGGGTGGCGTAAGACGCGATAGCGGGAAACAAACCTGGATATAGACAGCAACGGCTTCCTTAAAAATATCTATTTTTAAAGTTCATCTTCTTATAATTTTGATATCTATCATTTTTAAACGTATTTGTTTGATGGAAAAAAGTAATGAAAACTGAAACTCTGGATGAGTTTCAATTTTCATTACTTCCAACTTACCGTTATCGTTACCTACTAAAAGCCCACAGATAATTTTTCAAAATTAGAGTGAACAATAGTGATCTATATTTTATTACCCTTCCTTTTTCTCATCTTAAGGTAACGCCAAGTCTTGCATGAATGTTCTATTCCTTTATGTTTTTAATATGTATTGTTATTGAGTTTCCGTTTTTTCTCACTTTAGCTTACTACAGTTTTATAGTGTACTCATGCCTAAAGCTACAGTTCTTCATTTCTACACTGTTATCTCATTTAACGACTTCATCTACATTTCTCGAGAAATCTGTCGTCGCTATTATTTTCTCAAGTTTAGCAATTCTCCATATTTGGTGCAGAGCTTTCGTATAGTGTCTGATTAAATTGGTTATTAGCTGAGAGAAGAGATGCCTGAAAATCTCTTTGTAGGGTAAGGGTAGGCTGGCAAACGAGCACACAGTCGACCTGATGTTAAATGGTTGCTGTGGCCTATATAAATTTATATCTATCCAAGATTAAGAATCAACATGAGGATGCATTGTCACCCTTGAGGACTAAGATGAAATACCTTGTCTACATTCAAAAGGAACTCTGGTTCTCTACACTCACCATACAGCAGCATTATAAAACATATTATAAAACATAGCAGAATTAAGTTGCTATTTTACTTAGTGGTGGTGGGGCTGCGGAAGGAACAGAGTATTGGTGTAGTGAGGCGCCACTCTATATACCCTCCGAAGCCAAAATTTGGTTGGCGGCCGAAACTAAATCCGACGATGGGGTCAGGAAGGCCAGTGCTTCTGAATGCTATTTTTTCCTGGCCCGTTGGCCGTCACACATCGAACACGGAAGCGTTGCTTAGGCAGGTGAAATTGAAGGCCGCGAAGAAAGGCGCGCCATTTCCTCTGTAGCACCTTACTTGAGTAAGAAGGGAAAGATTAGTCCTCTTCCAAAGAGAGGCCGTCACTGGGTGGCCAGAGAAGGTGGGCTGCTGTCCACGAAAGCGTTCCCGTGGCCCTGAAGTCCGACATAACCCGTCCTTGCCACCGCGAAGTGCGGATTTCGCCATGTGAGTACAGAAGGGGCAGGGGTAGCTTATCAAGCCTAAATATACGTCTGAGCATCCTTAGCAATTTGTGAGTTCCCATTCGCAATAGATTCACGATGAATCCAATTATCACAAGACTGATTCTCATTGAAATTTCTCTGCTTAACCTTTTTACTGAAAACGAGGCATTATTTCTTATTCCTCAGAGGTGACATAGCATCTGCATTTTAAGTTTTAATTGACTAGTGATATTGATAATGATATTTTGAATGATAAAAAGGTGATAGAGGTGGATGTCATTAGGCCACATCATTTATCATCAGGTGGATTATGTGCTATATTGTATAAAAAATAATGTGTTAGAAAATGGTCTACTGCAACTGTCTTCTATCGGTAGTGCATAAAGCATGTTAACATTGGTTTCATTGTTGCTTCAATTTAGATACATTTTAAACTATTGTACAAGTACGTGACTTGACAAAAAAATTATATCCAGAGATGATTAGCTATCGTCTCCTCGGTGCTAAAGACTGCAGCTCTGAGTACAAATAATACCTTTATTTTACTTTGAAACACTTTATTACTTTTTTCTCTATAACAACTTCATAATGATTTTAATATCTTTTTTGCAATGTCGTTTAACGTAGTTATGATTCACAATCATAACATAGCTCAAAAATATGAACCGGGGTGTACGAAGTCTTTTTAGTTAAATTAAATTCATTTATTCCTTTTTGTAAAAACTCTAGCGATCCGACCCGGCTTTGCATGGGTGATTTCTGTATCTCGAAAATAGCGCCACTTACCGGGTCAAATCTTAAATCCAAACCATTTTGTGCGTTTTAGTGCGATGGCTGACACGAAGGGAGATGAGATGCGGTGGTTTAGGTACAAAAAGTAAAACAGCACAAGACAAGGATGGATAAGCACAGTACCTTGAGAGGAGCGGCGCGCCTCGTCTCTCATGACGACTGCTACTGCACGCAATGAGCTATGATAACACAAAAAAATTTTACAATAAAACAGTCCTGATTTCTTCTAAATAAAATCTTGTGCACCAAACAAATTTTCAGCCTAATCTCATTATTCCTAGGATTACTCTGCCGTGCACTTAGTCTGGAGTACGAGAGCGTTAAAATTGACTTTACATGTCCTCGAAATGATTTATTTCACAGACATGCTTTTCCTATGATAAACAAACAAGTGACAAACGAACTCAGTCCACCTGATGGTAAACAGCTATTTCATAACAGTATATGGACACCTGTAGTCAACTTCAAACGGCTACTCATGCGTTGTCACCTCTGAGGACTAAGATGAAATATCTCACAATTTGTAATAATACTGGCTCTATGTACCTTTCCGATTGGAATACAGAAATTCTGCAGTTTGATGGTGAAAATAGTTAAAAGAGTGGTACATACACAGACTGAATCTCAGGAGGAGAACGTGATAAATCAGCACATAAAATTATGATTAAAGTTTTTATTGGTGCCGGTGAGGATTGATCATTTACAGCATATCAAAAATTCACTGTGAATATAGGCCTTCCCCACAGCTTGCTTCATGGGCGGATATTTACCATAGTTAATTTATTCTTCAGGTAGTTAGGAAACCATAGAATACTATAATACACAATAGAATGACTGTTGTTAACCTTGCTTTGTAGGAGGATCGGCGTCGCCGGGAGCACACATACAAGCAATTAGGTCGTATTATTTTAGTTATCACTACTACAAATACATTTTAGACTTTTGATAAATGTTTTTGACACATAAATGTTTATTTATTTTTGTCTCTAATATTCACAAAATATAAAATACAGTTTCGACTTATTTGTTGTAGAATATATGTCCTTTATTTAAATTCCATTTCCCGCTGTTCTTTCGACACGTAATTATTGCACAATTTGCCATTTTTTAAATAATTTGCATGCAGCGACGCTTGACATGAAAACTGTAAACGATTGATTATGTTGACATTTATAAGTGTGAATTGACGTGGTAGTGACATGTTAGTGGCTACACGGGCTCCGACCACTCCCCGTTCTATTATGTATGTATTATTGTATTCTGTGTTGGAAACCATAGTTTTTCTATTATTTTGAGTTGTTATCAGGAAAAATGTCTTATGTATTAATCAAATCGTGTTGATTTTCCCGCGACGCAAAACATAAATACGGAGACGTTTATTAGCGAAATAATGTCTCGGTCTGCAATATGGTCTAGTAAGAATGAAAATTATAAGCATATTATTCTCTATGCTATTCGAAAATTCAGCCAGGAAAACCCATTTTCGTTATTAAAAATTTATCAAAAGCTCCCGTGAAATTTCTACAAATTTAATTTAACTAAAAGAAATATATTAAAGTTACTCTCACTTAAAAGTAAAAAGTAAAAGTTACAGCCTATATACGTCCCACTGCTGGGCTCAGGCCTCCCCTCATTTCTGAGAGGGTTTAGGGTAAGGAAGTGTCCGCCGCGCTGCCCAAATGCGTGTTGACGAACTTCACATGTCTTCGAAATATTTTTTTTTCTTATTCCTCAGACATGCAGGTTTCCTCACGATGTTTTCCTTCACCGCCGAGCACGTGGTAAATCAGCACTTAAAATTGCAATTAACAGTTTCATTGGTGCCGGCGGGGATCGAACCCGGGTTACTCGCGTTCTGTTATATTTACGACGAGCGTTAACAACTGAGCTACCACGGCTCTTACTCTCACTTATGTGTAAAGATATTTTATTCAAGTATTGCTCCCATTTTCTGTAACCAATTAGTAATCGTATTGGTGTAACTTTATTATTCATGATGAAAGAACCGATTCAAACAGGACTATGTTCCTAGTAGTTAGGCAATTTCATTTACTCGTCCTCGCACGTGACAAGCGGGCACAGAGTCCACCTGATGATAATTGGATGCTGTGGCCTATAGACATCTACATTTCTCCCCGATTAAGAAACAAAGCGCAGATGCGTTGTTACCCCTAAGTTTGAGCTTCACACACAGACACACACACTCACTCACTCACACACACACACACACACACACACACACACACACACACACACACACACACACACACACACACACACACACACACACGCACGCACAAACACACACACACACACACACACACACACACACACACACACACACACACACACACACACACACACACACCGCTCGCGCACGTGCACGCGCACACACACAAAATATTTAATTTGTAAAATTGTATGGGAAGGTACTGATATCCTAAGATACTGGATTTATCATAGTTTAGGAATCAGTGCAACCATTCGTTTGTGACTTCATAAGTTTTAATAAAGATTATTATTATTACGG